ACTTTAGAAAAAGGAGGAACTATGGATCTCCCCAAATCATTGGTTATTAATAATAATTTCTCTCATATTTGACTAGGATGGGGGGAGGGGCAGCAAAGTAAATATAAAAATATTTGAACTCAATGCAAAATAATCTGATGGGAGAGTGGAAGCCTAAGACCTGGGGATTTGGAGCCAATGACTCTTGAGTCCCACTCCTGCCTCTGATAATTGTACTTGCTTGACTTTGGATATGTTATTTAATCTCTCTGGGCCTCAATCCCTAATCTTCAAAATGAGGAGGCTGAACTCAGTGACCTCTTGCTCTAAAACTATGATCCTCTGAATCCCCATGTAGGAGCTGGTACTTGAGCTGAGCCTTGGAGGGTTCTGGAGATTATAGGAAGCAAAGGTGAAGAAGGACAGCATTCCACACTTGTGGAATAGTCAGTATAAGGTTGTGGAGATGGTCAAGGGGTAGGGGAAAGGATGCTTTATGAAGTACCTACTATGTTCCAAGCACTGTGCTGAGGGCTTTATAGTAATTATCTCATTTGAAGATGTCAGCAAGGTGGTGCTGCAAAGTGATTAGTGCCCCCAGCCTAGAGTCAGGAAGGGTCATCTTCCTGAGTTCAAATCCAGCCTCAGACACTGGCTGTGTGACCCTAGGCAGGTCACTCCACCATGTTGGCCTCAGTTTCCTCATCTGTAAAATGAGCTGGAGAAGGAAATGGCCAACCACTGAACAACAGCAAGCTAGTCTGTCTGTGTAGCTGGGTGATATAGGGAGTTGAGGGAAGTGGCCACATTGTGAAGAGGGCACGCTATTGGATCCTGGATGTCAGAGAGAGCCACTGGACCGTGCTGAGTGGGGGAATGTCACAGCAGGACCTACACTATAGGAAAATGACTTCGATGGCACAGTAGGGGGTATAATGGAGAGGGGAGAGACTTGAAAGAGGAAAAAAAATTGTTGTGATAATCTGACTGAGAAGTGAAGATTGCTTGAACGTGTGCGGTGGTTGTGTTAGTGGACAGAGAAGGACACTTAGACCAGAAATGTTGTGATGGAAAAATGGAAAGATTGAACAATGGTTTCAACCTTGAACATATTGAGTGAGTGGGAGTTAGGAACCAAGGATGGCACCAGAGCTGCCAGCCTAGGTGAAAAGGAGGATGGTGGTGCCCTCAATAGTAATAGTAATTTGCCTGCACAAAGACATAATCAAGGAGGACTGGAAGGAAAAGCAAGTAGGTCCATTTGGCTTTTGGTTTATGGTCACGAAGGACATTTGAGGCATTGCTTTTGCAACTTTGAATTTAGAATTAACTCTGAATGAATGAAAAAGTATTTATTAAGCACTTCACTATAAGCAAAGCACCATGCCAAGAACTAAGAAGAAGAAAGATGGATCCTGCTCCCGAAGAGTTTTCATTCTGGTGAATCTGAAACTTCTGCTACTTGAAACCCTTCTCAAGTACCCCAGTACTCATTGTACTAAACACACCCAGCCGCAGGGCTGGGCCCGCGGAAATGAAATGAACCCAGGTGTAGGACCCAAGCAGTGCGCTTGTGGGTTCTCGTCTCACTAGGGGAAAGCTGTGGCGTAGGGGATACCGGGGCACTGCTGGGTCCTGTGGCCATATTGCAGTCACATATCATTTCACATAGCTTCCAATGAAGGAATAGGCATCTTTGGTAGCAGAAGAACACAGGTGTGCTTTAACTGGATTTAACTTTGAAAATACACATCGTACATGTCACCAAAGCACGTTCTGTGTGGCACCATGGTATAATTTTACACAAAGGTCTTAACTTCTTTACTTCTGTCAGAAGACTTGGAACTCCACCGCATCTGACAGATCTCACAGTAAATAGCATTTACAAATTTTGAATTGTTCTCCTTTGCTGCCAATGAGACTTGGTAGAAATAGAACTAGTAGCATCTCTCCTCCTCCAGAGATCCATAAAGGAAAGATAAACAGCAAACAAAGAAATCAGTTTCACTATATACATTTCCTGGGCTTTGGCTATTACTAAATGGTCCTTTTTTGTAGTAAGTGGCCTCTCTGATATGTTAAGATCCTTTAGCTCCTTCCCCTTTTACCTAGGGAATTCTGCTCTGGAGTTACCTTACCTCGCCCCTAAAACAAAATCCGAGGTGCCTGCGCTCAGTCCTTGGAGGAGGGGGAGTGCTGGGGACTACCCCGTGCCAGAACTTCTTAGCCAAGAATATTGTGTTAAGAAGGATTTCCAGGACTGTACAGTGTATTTCTCTGCCAAGGAACTGTTAGCTGGGTACGATGACCTCCTGAAAGGACAGTGTTTGGCACACTGTGCAGTGTTTACAATTCCTCTGTGAAATTTCAGACACCCTTGGAGAACGGGAGAAAGGTTTTGTACAGTTGATTCGGGACTTTTTAAATAGCCATATATGGTACTAGATAGAGAAATAGTGATATTGATATAAAAATGTCTGTTCCTCCAGTCTACCAGTTAGGGTTTTTTTTAATGCTATTCTGAGCATTTTCAGGAGAAAAAGGAGATAACTTGTAGATGATACAGTCTCAAGAAACAAAGGAATAAAAATAGGCTATTTGGGGGGAAAAAACTTTGTGGAATCTTTCTTCAAACATCAGAAGCCAAGTGATATTTTTTCCCCATAGGAACAAAGTGGAAATATTTTTAAAGTATGCAGTTCAATGTTAGGTTTTTGGTGGAGTTTTAAGTATTTACTTTCCATTAAAAAATATTAGTACAAGGTCTGACTTGGGCTTTGAAATATAGATGAATTTCCAGGCAGTTGCATTTGGTTGAGGCTTACCAGTTCCTGCATCATTAATAGGAACCCTGTTGCTAACTTTGGATAACTATTTGGAAAATATATAAAGGAAACTATTTGGCAAACATTGTTTCCTTGTTTTCCATTATAGTGATAGCCACCAGCTGAGAATCAAGTGATCTCATTACCTAGCCATGATTTCACCTAGTTTGAATGAGATTTTCCCTCCTATCTCCAGTGGTTAGTATTCTCCCTAAATAAATCAACTTATATTTCTCTCTTATGGATTTGCATTTTGAATTTGCTTATCCATGCACGTTTTTTATCCCCAAGTAGATTATGATTATTGTAGCTCCAGCTCATGGCATAAGACTTAGAAGCTTTAAAAAAAATTTAATTGAATTGTATTTAAAGCAATCCACCTAGTTATTTAAAAAATAGCTCTAAATGTCGAGGGCTTCTTCTAAGGTTTTTTTTTTTTTCTGAGATTGAAGAGCCAGAAAGAGAACTTGAAAATCTTGTGAGTACCATAAAAAAGAGAATAAGGATGATATACTTTTCAATTCAAATTCATTTCTGTTCTATAAGCATGCCACAACAGGATGCCTGAGGACTTATCTGGGAAACACAATCGGTTTACTATTATAGGAAATTGTCCACCAAGAACTTAAATCATAAAACAAACAAACACAACTCTGCCAGGCTTCTTAGTTACCATGACCTCTTCTCAGCTTTCAAGAAAGCAACCAAAAATGATTACAAGGTTGGGAAATGGCTGAGAGTAAAGGCTAGATAACTGGTGGTACCTAATTGCAGTAGTCAGGCATGTTAAGAAATAGCCTATGAGTGACATGGAGCAGCTGTTCTATTTTCACTAAGGACAGAGCAAGAAACAATGGGGCTGCTTCTGTAACGGAGACATTATGACTGATTTAAGGAAGCATTTCCTGTGTCACCCATAGAACTTTCAGAAAGGAACTTAGGGCTCATCCATCCCAATGTTCTGATTCTTCCTATCACGGACCCCTTTGGCCATCCTGTGGTGTAGTTTATGGCCCGATTCTTAGATTAATGTCTTTAAATGTATAAAATGTATATAAAATATAAAAATATAAAATATGTATAAAATAAAATATATAGGATTCTTAAGGAAACCAATTATATTGAACTACAGTTATCAACATATACACACACACAAAATCAAGTTCACAGACCCCAGGTTAATAATTCTTGAGTCCTACACTGACCCACCTCCACTGACAGATGAAGAAACAAAAGTCTAGAGAAAGGAAAGGATTTGCCCAGGGTCATGTTACTGTAGGACATTATAACGAGTTACTCACAGGATTTGTTGTTTCCTTGGTAAGAAATTTCCAAAGTATCAGGGGACTTCTCTGGGTATAGTTCTCCCCAAAAGCAGGAGTTTGGACTCTGTCAAGTTTCCTTCAGAGTGATTTGGTCCTAACAACTTTGTCTCTCCCTTTACAGCTCTGATGGCCTGTTTCTCAGAGTTTCTATTTTTTTTGTTTCAATGGTTACAGTTTCATATGAGTCTTATATCTCAGGTGACCCATCCCTCACGTCCACTATGTATACCAGAGAGGCAGCCATAGAGTAATAAAAGCACTAGAATGGGAATCATGACACTTGGATTCTAACCCAGCTTGGCCTCTGACCATCTCAGGAACGTAAGACAGAATGAGAGATGAACTGTCTCTGGGTCTTAGTCCCATAGAATCACGGATATGGAGCAGAAATATGGGCCTTAGAGATCATCTCATTCAAATTAATCTAATTTACAGAAAGTTTCGCTGCTCATCCTCGTGGGAGTTTCACCTGCTAGGTTTCCTGCCTGGCCTGGTTCTCCCCATTTAGGCAGCCTCTTGGTCCCCACCACTCTCAAGGGCTCAGTGCTCAGGATGGCCCTGGAATGGTCAGCGCAGCTTTCATAGCTTAAAACAACGCTAAGACTTCGGGGCCATCTTCCGTTATTGGTGTCAGACTTTCTGTAAATTCTAGATATACTAGCTGAGAACTTCTGAGCACAAGGGATCCTGCAGCCTCTGCCCTCCCCAGGTAGCATTCACGGGAGTACCCCCTCACAAAGACCCCAAGACTTTATTTTACAGAAGATGAAATGGTGTCCTAGAGAGAAGGAACCTGCCCAAGAAGACCTAATTCAAGTAACCTGTACTGCCTATCTCTGCCTTCCAACTAATTATCCCTTCGTCTTCCTACCTTCCTCTTTAGGGTCTTCCTCATGTCTTCTTTTTCTGTTCTTCCATCTCTCTTCCCTGTGATATGGGGAGGGGAAGAGGAGGAAAAGGAGAAGCAGGTCATAGTAATGATAAGTTTAAGAAAAGGAATAAACCATAACACCTTTAAATTACTTATTATGTAGAATTGTATGGATCACCTGCAGGAAACTTTCAGAGGAGGGAATAGAAAAGATATACACAAGATGGGCAGGCATCTGTCAGTAGACGAAAATTCAGAATTGATGGTCCACTTAAGTAATGTTGTATATTATAGTTAGATGTTTGTCTTATCTCAACTTTTTATCTCCCCCAGCACTTAACATGGTACTTTGTACACAGTAGTTGCTTAATAGATTTTTGTTGAAGCAAAAAGTGCTGTGAAACCACCAACTTTATGAAAAACCAGCTTCTTTCTTAGAACTGTGAAATAAAGAGCTCATACATTTCAGGTGTCTTGGAATTGAAAGATGAACACTAAAGGGACTGACCTGGGTAACAGGAAGGCATCCTGAAAACAATCTGCCGTCTATGTTGCTGTAGTCCATGCCCTTAAAAAAAAAAAACTGGTTTCAATTATTCTAGCAAATTTGCATGCCTGAGATTGACAGCTTGACAAATTATGGGAAATTGCAAACATTTTCTCCAGTCCCAATTATCAAGCCCATTCCCTAAAGAGTTCAGTGGGAGATTTAAGCCTGAAGCCTCCATGGACAGGGGGGTTTCCCCTTCCTCAAGGATTGGCTTAGTGTAATAGGAATATTCGTTGGGAGCACAGATCAGCCAGTACACGATACTTTATCCAGTGATGCCTTTTGGCATTTCGACCAGACCACCAACGTATGCCTAACTGAAATGCTGGGAACAAAATAAACTTGGGGCCAGCATTTGCCTTTGGAAAGGTGGCGGGGTGGGGGGAGAAGAAATGCTTATTTATCCGACCTAGACAGTATTTTCATTTAGAATGTATTTTGGTTATTGTAAGTGAAGGTTAAGGCAGGTTTCTGAAGAAACTAAACATCATTCCTCTTGGGAGGATTAACCCCTAGCTTTAAAAGGAAGAAGGAAAAGGGGGGGCGGGAACCCTTTGCCTCAAGGTAGCCTGTCTCTGGTGCTGGTTAAATGAAACTTTCTCCTCCACACTGATGGTTTGTGGGCTGGAGGCATTCATTAGAAAGCACAAGGTTTTGTTTTTGTTTTGTTTGGGGGGGTGGGAGTGCTCATCCAAGCAGATACAATCATTTTTCCAAACACAGGATACATGTGAGAAATAAAAAAAGTATCGGGAAAATAAATCTAATTAGTAAATGAAACTCTACAAACTGAAGGTTAGGGTTAATTCTCCCTTCAACCCTGATTGACCCTTTATAACTTATTTTGAATTTAATAATAGCTAGCGTTTATATAGTGCTTTGAGGTTTGAAAAATGCTTTATTCAAATATCTGTTTCTATCCTCCCAATACTCCTGTTAGGTAGGTGTTATTGTTATCCCTGTTTTACCAGAGATATAAATTGAGGCTGAGATTTCACCCAGTCACATGGGCATTAAAGTGTCAGAGATAAGACCTGAATTTGAGGCTTTCTGACTCGAGGTCCCTTACATTATCCATTGTACCAGTAGAAGAGATTATATATGACTTTTCAAAAAATGTTTCTTGATCATTTACAACGTTCTTTCACTTCCCTCCCCTAACCCCCTGCAGCTTCAGAATTTATCTCAGATAAAGCTTTTCAACAGAAAAATGTATTTATTCTCTATTCTCAATAGAGGAAAAAAATTATGTGTGTGTGTGTGTATACATGTATGTATATATATATATATATATATATATATATATATATATATACACACACATACAGATGTATATATACATGTGTGTATACATACGTGCATGTATATACATACATGTGTATATATACATACATACACACAAATATATGTGTGTATACACACACACACACACACACACACACACACCCCATTTGACATCAGTGAAAGTAGTTCCATTGATTTTAAAGTAAAACCCTTGGAATTTTGCTTAATATGTTTCTGGCATTTTTGGAATTGTGTAGGAATTTCCTGGGGTTGAATGTATCAGTTTTAATCAGCAATAGTTAAATATTAAGTGAACTTTGAAGGTTCAACATATTTAGAGATAAGGAGTGAATCCATCAAACTTTGGACTGCCAATGACTTCATGGATTTCCTAGGTAAAATGTACTTGGAGGAAAAGTGCTGACCACAGCCTAGCCTTAGGTCTGCTGTTTAGGTATTTGGAAAATAGAGCTCAAAAAGGTAACTTCTGTCACTTTACAGGTGGGAAAACAAAGTCTCAAAGAGGTTAAGTGGTTCATCCCAAGTTAGTGACAGAACAAAAAATCCAGTGATCTTTCTGGTATAACATCCTGCTTCATTAACATGGTAAAGGGCACAATAAATTGGAACACTTAGGGAGGGAAATGCCAGCTTTCCAAAGAAAGGATTTGCCTTCAAACAGTATTTTTTTACAAAGATCTGTGTGAGTGTGTGTCTGTTATTATCTCAAATAGCAGTCAATTTAGTGAGCATCTGTTACAGTTGACCTTGGAAGGATAGCTTATGACATTGAGCTCTTTCTGATATCTAGATATTTAGGGACTCCATGATCACATGAGAGTTCTGTACCTGTTATCAAAATCAAGGAGTGAGTTATCGGAGGAGAAGATATGATCCTCAGATCAAAGAAGCTAGCAACATTCTTCCTAGGGCTTAAGATCTAGAAACCATCAACTCACTCCATTCTAAAGATCATTTTAGCTCTAGTAGCTTTACACATTGGCATGAGTCTCACGTCAAGGGGGCATAGACATTGGGTCTAGGAGTCTAAAGAGGCAAGTGGAAATTCTGAAACTCTGAGTTCTCATCCTGGTCTTCTCTCTGACTTTCACAAACCAAGGGATACCCTAAAAGCAGAACAGGAAATATTCTGTGTCTCTATTCCTTCCCGTGTGGTTTTGAGGCTCTATAAATCAGTGGCCAGTTCTCTAGGGTGGATCTGTATTGTAGAGATGATTGTAAGTGCTAAATAAATGCTCTTTGGACATATAAAATTTCACAGGAGAAAAGATATTCAAGTACAGAGATTTTAATCTATGAGGGTGTAGATGGCATGTCTCTTAGGAAAAACAATAATAGATACACCTTAATGGAACATTTTCCATACTTTCTTTACTTCTTCCTATACTTTATACGTTCCAAGGAATTCAATTCAGTAAGCATTTATTGAACAACTACAATGTACTGGGCAGTGGGTGTAGTGCTGGAGCTTACCTTCTAATAGAGAAAAGAGAATGTAAACAAATAAATAAGCAAGAGATACATACACAAAATTAAAAGTGATTTGGGAGGCTAGAGGGCACTGGAAACTGGTGGTGGGATATCAGGCTAGCCCTTGTGTAGGAGGTGACACTGGAGCTGAGGTCTGAAGGAAGTTAGAGATTCTGAGAGGCAGAAGTAGAGAGATGTAATTTTTTCGGTCTTTTCAGTTGTGTCAACTCTTCATGACCTCATCTGGGGTTTTCTTGGCAAAGATACTAGAGGAGTTTGACATTTCCTTCTCCAACTCATTTTATGGATGAGGAACTGAAGCAGACAGGGATAAGTGACTTGCCCAGGGTCGCACAGCTAGTAAGCTTCTGAAGTCAGATTTAAACTCAGGAAGATGAGTCTTCCCAACTCCAAACCTGGCACTCTAGCCACTGTTTTTGCAAAGACAGACAAGAGATGTAACATCCTCTATGGAAAATAGCAAGTAGGATGGTTTGGCTATAGCATAGTGTAAAGGAAATGTATATACAATAAATCAGTAAACATTTTAAGGGTTGTTATGTACAGGAACATCTGTCAATGTTGTAACCAGTCGAACTATAAGTATTTATTTAGCACCTATTATGTGCCAGGCACTGTGCTAAGAGCCAGATATTGAAAGACTTCAAATGCCAAGCAGACTTTATATTTTTTTCGCTAAAGGCAAGTGGGAGCCACGGAAGCTTCTAAAGCAAGGAAGTGGCATGATTAGATCTCTACATTGGGAAAACCCCTCTGGCAGTCATGTGGAAGATAGGCTGGAGAGAGGAGAGATTTAAGGCAGGGAGACCAATCAGGAGGCTGTTAGATTTGTCCAGGTAAGAGGTAATGAAGATTGGAATTAGTGGAATGGACATCTCTATTGGAAGTTACTGACAACGGTGTAACAAAAATCTAATAATTGACCTAATTTAATTATTAATTTAATCTAATCATAAGCTAATATGGAAACTACGTTAGTCTATGAATCTTCCTCTGAAGTATTACAATACATGGTTACATTATATTATATTCCAGTAATCATATATGATATTGTAACAGCTATAAATGAGTTCCACAGAACAAAGGGAGACTTCAGTCATTTTTTTCAGACCTACCACATTGCTTATCCAGGGTGGGAAGAGCGGGATTGATACCATTCTGATTTGAGTGAAAACAGGCTAGACATGTATAGCCTTGGTCAGTTCCCTTCATTCCTTGACACAAATACACAGGACTGCCAAGTACAACTTGGCACATTTTACCCACCTCTGTAAATGACCGCTTTGCATCTCTTTCTTTTGTGTCCAGTACCTACCTGTTCCTGAAGGATATTATATTAGAACTTGAACAAACCATTTGCAGTTACCAATAGAGTCTCTCCAAATATATAGGTTCGATGATGCAAAGTGAAGTGAGCTGAACCAGGAAATCATTATGCTCAGTAGTAGCAATATTGTATGATAATCAGCAATACAATGATCTAAGACAATTCCAAAGGACTCATGATGAAAAATGCTATCTGTCTCCAAAGAAAGAACTGATGGAGTCTAAATGCTGATCGCAGCATACTATTTTTCACTGTGTGTGTGTGTATGTGTGCGTGTGTGTGTGTGCGTGTTTCCTTTTGGTCTGCTTTGTTCACAACATGACTAATATGGAAATGCTTTATATGATCGCACATATATAACCTATATCAAATTGCTTTACCATATTAGGGAAGGGGGAAGTGAGAGAAGGATGGAGAAAATTGGAACTCAAAATTTTTTTCAAATGAGTGGTAAAAACAATCTTTACATGTGATTGGGGAAAGAATAAAATGCAATTTTTAAAAATATTATGTGTGTTCAGGAGTTCAACATCAGTTACCATGATCAAATGGGCTATAAGAAAGTGCTAGGTAGGCAATTAATTAATTACCCCATCCATTTCCAAAACGACTCTCACATGGTCATCTCATGTGGCTTCTAATAAGGGTATATAATGACATACAGTCTAGAAATCACAGTCATTGGGGAAGGAGTAGTCAGTTCCTCATCAGGCAAAGAGTGGTCTCAAGAGACTTGTGGCCATTGATTTCATGATGTCATAGTCCACATTCGGTATCATATTATGGGACCATTAAGTCACATGGGAACTGTCATACTACCACAATTTCTAGTCAAGACAATATTTGAGACAGCGCTTGTCAGTGGCACTGAGGTGAGAGCAGGACTGATGTGTTCAATCAACAAGCATTTATTTCATAGCCATTATGGACCAGCCTCTGAGGGTACAAAGACAAAAGTGAAACTTATTTGTGCATAAAGAGCTTACATTCCATCAGAGAAACAAAATGGGCATATCCCTACAAAAATAGACAGCGGATAGTTGGGGAGAGGTGTGGGGGAGAAGAGGCGGTTTAGGGGAAGGGAGAAACAGCTAGAAGGAGCAGTTAAGTCTTCGTGTAGAAAGCAGTATTTGAATTGAATCTTGAAGGGAACTAGAATGCTAAGAGATGGTGAGGAGAGAGTGCTTTCCATGAGGGATAGCCGATGCAAAGGCACAAAGATAAGAAATGGAGGGTCATGTCTGAGGAAGAAGAGAAAGGCCAATGTGAATGGACCATAGAGTATATAGGGGAGAGTAACATGGAATAAAGCTGGAAAAGTAAAATGTTCAACTGAAGGTCTGGTCCCTGGTGGAGTGGCTTTACCATCTGCGACACTGAATGCGATAGGTGATTCCTCCTGATATTAGTGATCTAAGTTTCTTTTTGAATATCAGGTGTCCTGGGGTTCAGTCATTTATATTTGTTAAAAAAAAAAGTCTCATGGGAAACTTGCCCTGCCCCATTAACGACTATTATTTAGAAATAATAATCGAACACTAGGAAAGCCTTCTGCTTGTGTCAAACTTGGGTTTTTGGTAACCTCTTCTGTTTCCCAAAGGAATTATTTGTTTTCTTGGCTTCCCAAACTCACAGACCCTGTGGTCTGAATGCCCATGAGGTTGTCATCAGGGAACATCTAGCCCCCTCCCCTTAAAACCCAAATCACCAGTAAGTCGGGAAGATGTTTTCAAACATTGGGAGGTCTGTTTTGGATCACACCCGAGCTATATCTTCCCGGAGCCTCTGAAAATGAAGTGAAGCAGTTCTTATGCGGTTACAAGAGCTCCATGATTTACAGTGTTGGACTCACCAGACTGCTCTTGCCTCTGAAAAAGCCCAAGCCCTCAACAGCCGTTTATTTTTAAATTCTAAAAAGCAGCTCTATGTACGGTGTACTTGGTTGCTAGAGGGCAGAGAAACATAGGTTTGAAAAAAAAAAAAAAAAGAGAAAAATGCCGTTAATCCCCAGCAGGCTCCTGGGCAGTAGAGCAGTTATGGATGACAAAAGTTAATTAGAAACATGAGCAGTTTAACCGAAAACATTTGTGACAATTGGGAGTGCAGCGTCTCCAGAAGGGTAAGTTCTCAAAGACAAACATTAATGGAGAAAGTGACTGCTGCTAGGTAAGTTATCTAATTGCAATCTTTTTTTTTTCAGGCTTTCTCTTTAGTTACTGAACTGCTATATAAAATGAAGAAGATTGGTTTTGGGGTACAGGCTGTGGGTATCTGTGTCAGAGCAGGGAAAGCGGAGAATTTGGGCTGAGTTAGGATGCCGGCAGTAACTGCCACCAACCTTTCTTCCAGCTGGATTCACTTAGGAGATAGAGATGTATCATTTAAGTTTGCCGCATAAGGAGACTATAATTTTATTTTTTTATTTAAAAAAAAAACTGGTTAGCCTCTGTCTGTAATGGAAATCCACGTTTGAAAACATACTAATGCAAGTTAACTCCAGTTCTTATTTGAAAGCATTTTGTGGCTTTAATGACACACCAAAAAAAAAAAAAAACCAACCCTCTTTGAAGGGCAGTGCTTGCTAGGAGCCAAGGGATAGCTTTTGCTTTGGGATAAAGCAATGTTCCTCATGTTCTTCTGCTTGTGACAGAGCTGTGTGGACACGTCCAGCTCTTACCTAGCTTGTGGTTAAAAGCAAACCAGTTTGATCCCAGTGCCTGTCTAAAAGCGTTAGTGGAGTCAAAGGAGTGTGTATGCGGTGTCTTAGCAAACTTCTTGTTGGGGATTTTTCTCTCTGCTGAAAACTGATCTAGGAATACTTTCTCCTTTCACTTTTTGGACTGACACCAATAAAGAATATTTTTTTTCTTTTTACTAGAACTGTGATTTCATTTCTATAGGGAACTCCCTGTGAGGAAACTCCCTTCACCAATGCAGGTCAGCACCTATTCTTAGAGGATTATTATCTTTAAAAAGGAAGAAAAAATGGGAAGGTTTGAGCTATTTGTATGACTTGATATTCAAAAATGATATTAAAAATATTTTATAGTCAACTTTATAACATGATTTTTTAAAAATGCAGGTTTATCTTCTTAGTTGTGCTCTTTTTTTTTTATCTAGTTGGAAGTAGGGTGGGTCTAGACCTCTGATTTTATCAGTGTAAGGAAAGTCTAGTGTGGGAACTCAGGCAATGTCACAGAGCAACTCTTAGAGTTCTTTAGAGCTTTAGAAAGACTCCAAGAACCTTAGAGCTCTTAACTTAGAGCCTTAGAAAGTAGTCTGAGGCACAGCAAGGTTAAGTGACATCTCTTTGGTCACCCAGGCATAGATGGACAGAAAAAGGACATTGTCCATCAGTGTGTCTGAGGCAGGCCTTGAACCCAGGTCTTCCTGATACCAAGGTCAATTCTCTATCCATTATGCTACATTGCCTTTCAGTTGTGCTTCAAGGCACCTGATGTCAAAATTAGTGCGCATTCTTTAAATATGTATGAAAAATGGTTCAGGATATGATCCAGAACAAATTAGATATGGGGAGGAGGAGCCAGTCTAGGATTTAAAATTTAACTCAGATAATACATAAAGTAGGTAATTTTGATGTAATTTTGTTCAGATCTTCAAACATTTGTCATATAATACTTCAATTTCAAAAGATCTGTGATTGCGTCAATCAATTAAGCATTTATTAAGCACCTATTATGTACTGAGTACCATCCTCCATACCAAAAATACAACTATAAAGAATCAAGCCATCATTACTGCAGAATAATTGGTAAGAAAAGGAATACAGATAAATATAAAGTAGTTAAGTCAAAGATAGTTGGGAAGGGAAAGTGTTACAAATCAGGGGATCAAGAAAGGCTTCATGTAGAAGACAGTGTTGGAGCTCAGTCTTAAAGGAATGGAGGGATTCCAATAGTTGAAGGCATAGGAGACAGACAGAATGAAATCATTGTGGGTACTATCTCCATCAGTGCAGATTTCAACCTCTCCTTACTTAAGTAGTTAGTTTTATGAGATCAGATAGATTTCTCACCTGATGGCTGGCCCTCATTGAACTTGGACTGATTCTCAGATTATAGGCACACTGGATCAATTATTGAAGTCATTCAAGTTTGTTGAGATTAGACAGAGCATGTGCTCCACCAGCACAACTTTTGAGGCCCCAGGGCCATTTCCATGCCATAATGAGGAATAAGAGAAGGAATATTTTTGGATGGCGATATTTAATATTGTGTAGAAATAACCTCTTCGTAGCTTATCTTGGTGCAAAGAAGGATTTACAGTTGTGTGCATGTTTTTCTCCCCTGTTTCTCCAGAGCCATCAGAAAGCCCCACCTCCGCACACCCAGGGATGAATGAAAATGCCCCCGCCTCATTTCAGAGCAGCAGCAGTCCCACTTCTGTTCACTGCAACAACTCTTCAGCCATCCCCCAGCCAGGCTCAGCTGCAAAACCCTGGCGAAGCAAATCCCTTAGCGCTAAGCACACTGCCACGTCTTCCATGCTTTCTGTAAAGCAGCCGGTGCCAGAGACACCCAGACCCCCTCCAGAAAACGTCAAGCCAGCTCCTAACAACCAGAAATCGATGCTAGAAAAGTTGAAGCTCTTCAATAGCAAAGGGGGCTCCAAGACAGGGGAGGGGCCGGGCTCCCGAGACACCAGCTGTGAGAGGTTGGAGATGCTTCCCAGCTTTGAGGAGAGTGAGGAGATAGAAGCTGCCAATCGAAATATCCCCACTACCAGTCCAGCTTCCAATAGCCCGAAAATTGCACTCAAGGGAATTGCACAGAGACATTCAGCCGGGCCCTGACCAATAAGAAGAGTTCCCCCAAAAGCAATGAGAAAGAAAAGGAGAAGCTGCAACGGGAGAAGGAAAAGGAGAAGAGCAAGGACACTATCAAAAGGACATCTGTCACGGAGAAGCCGGAAATGAAAGAGGAGCCAAAAGACGAAGCGACAGGAACCACTACCACAGAGATGCCCAAAAAGTCATCGAAGATCGCAAGCTTTATACCCAAAGGAGGGAAGCTCAACAGTGCCAAGAAGGAGGGGCCAACCCCTTCCTCGCACAGCGGAATACCAAAACCAGGGATGAAAACCACACCTGGGAAATCCCCAAGTGCCCCACCACCTTCAAAGGAAGGGGAGAGAAGCCGCAGCGGGAAACCTAGCTCAGGGCTGTCTCATCAAAAGACTCCGCTGGACAGCAGGCGCTCAAGCTCCTCCTCCAGCTTAGCCTCCTCAGAGGGGAAAGGGCTCGGAGGAATGGTGGCCTTGAACAGCAGCAGCAGCTGCAGCCAGACTGTCAGTGGGCCATCTGGTACCACCCAGACCACAGGAAGCAATACTGTCAGTGTCCAGCTACCTCAGCCCCAACAGCAATACAACCATCCCAACACTGCAACAGTAGCGCCTTTCCTGTACAGGTAGGAGGTCATTCCTCTGGGACTTCTTCATTGGTGAGCTAAGGTCATTGGGTAGTTCCTTAGGGAGGCCATTCAGGGTTGGCTTTATCTGTGTGCCCCCATGGCACCTAGAGGAAGGTGATACCCAGAGCAGTCACTCAATAAATGTCGGTTAGAATGAAAGAAACTTTTTTGATGTGTAAGTCTTTGCCTTCCCACTGCATGGATTATAACTTGTAAATCTTCATAGTCAATTGCTAAAACCAATCAGCAAGTATTTCATGAGTGCCTACATTGTCTAGAACAGTTTAGGAAGCTATGAAGGATACCAATAAAGAAAAAGCAATTTTTTATGCTTATAATTTAAGGATACCTCAAAGCACCAAGCTGTCAATTGAAAAAATGTGTGTACATATATACACCAGATCAACTAGACTAGAGTTTTACCACATAGGAGAGTAACTCTAAGGGCCTTCAGTGGATAGAACGTCGGGCCTGGAGTCAGCAAAACTCATCTTCTTGAGTTAAAATCCAGCCTCAGACACCTACTAGCTGTGTGACCTTGGACAAATGCTTAGCCCTGTTTGCCTCAGTTTCTTCATCCATAAAGTGAGATGGGGGAGGAAATGGCAAACCATTCCAATATCTTTGCCAAGAAAACCCAAAATGGGATCACAAAAAGTCAGGCGTGACTTAAAATGACTCAACAATAATGAGTGCCTCTGAAATAGGTACGTCACTTTTTCCCTTATAAAATCCAACTTAAGAAGCATTTGTTAGGTATATACTGTGTGCAAGCCACCATGTTAGCTGCAGTCAGACAATAAACATTAATTAAGTGCTTGCTATATGGCAGATGTGCTAAGCATCAAGAAACACAAAAGCAATATACATACATATATATGTGTGTGTGTGTGCATATATATGTGTATATATACATACATATATACACATATACATAAACATATGCATACAGATACACGCATGCATACATATATACACACATACACCTATATATACACGCACACATACGTACACATGCGTACACATGCATGCATACACAGACGCATGCATATGTATGTATACATATATGCACGTGTACATATATATGTGTGTGTGTGTGCGCGCGTGTGTGTGTGAAGTTCCTGACCTCAAAGACCTGGCATTCTGCTCTGAGCATACAACATATAAAAACACACATGCCCTCATTTAAACGTTGGTCTTTATGTTGCTATGTCATTGAACAGAGAATTCCAAGTCTTTTTTTTTCTCCCTCTTCCTTCGTATTTATGTAAGTTTATAAAAGTTTCACCTGACTGGCAGCTGGAAACAATGACTATGCTTTGGGATTCTCATAGGGGAAAAAAAAAACCTAAACAAGAAAGCTTTGTCAATTGGCTAAGTGAGGAAAATGGATAGACCTTTTCTCATTGCTTTTTGTCTCTCTCTTCTCTTTTGCTGTCCCTTTCCCCTTCCATGTATGACAAGACTAAACTTATTAGACAAGAGATTGTCATCTCTTTATTAATTCAAGTAATATGTTCAGCAAGCCAGACTGAAAAAGAATACAAATGCTTAGATAATGACTCACTGCTGATCTACAGACAGTGTTTGAATACCAATATTCTGTGAAGCATGAAGGCAGCTGCATTGCCACTCATAAAAATATTATAACTAATAACATATTGACAGTG